CGGGTCATGCGCGCTGGCCCCGCCGTCGAGGCCCTCTGGGGATTGGCCATCTCTGGCGCCCCGCCTGGACGCGTGAGGGCTCTGCGGGCGGCCGCTGCGAAGAGCGCTGGCCAGCGTTTGCCGGCGGGCGTGGCGCTCGGCTTCGCTTTGCAGCGTGGGCCTCGGCTGAAGGCAGGGCCCGCCGGCGCTGGCCACGGGCTTGGCGGTGCAAGTCAATGTCAGCATCCGCTGGGCGGGCCAGATGCCGGAGGCGGCTGTCCAGGTCTGCCTGGCCCAGAGCTGACTCGCGAGTCTGGGGGCGCGGATTTGGGCGGCTGCGCGCGCCCCCATTGCGGCGCGCGTCCTCGCCCTGGAGCGCATCGGGCGGGCCCTCCCGGGTGACGGCCGCTGCGTTCAGGACGAGGTCGGCCCGTTCTTCGACGCCCCGCACCTCTCGCCAGCCTTTCAAGAGCGGGCCCGCGCGACCGCGGGGGGGGCAGCGGCGCTGGAGGAAGCGAGGGCGTGGCCAGGAACACTAATTATGGCCTTGGCGTCTTCCTCCTGCCTGGAGGCTTGTCGGCGAGCTGCTGGTCCGACCCCTCGCGGCCACATGGGCGAACCGTCGCGAGGGCTGCCCGCGCTGGTTCGCGACGCTCTCCCACTGGCCTGGCCTTGTGAGAGGCTGGCCAGGCGCGAGCAGGCCATCGACCCTGGGTGCCTGCTGCGCGGCGAGCAGGGCGGCTCGGTGTTCCGCCGCCGCCATTGTTGCCCAGAGTGGGAGGCTTGTCGGCGCGACAGGCTGCATGGGGATTCGAGCTGCCGAGGTGGTCCACAGGATGGCCCCCCCCCTTCGACCCCCCCCTTCGACGAGCTGTGCAGCCGGGGCCTCTTCGCGGACGCCGCGCTGCATGTCGGCCGCCCAGCCTGGGGGCCCGAGTGGGGGCGTCGCGCCTTCGGCTGGGATGGGGCCCAGGCCCGCGCTGATGTTTCGAGGCGCGTGCTGCCTGGGAAGGAGCAAGCGCCCATCTCGGAGTTGGTTTTGCCCGCGGCGCGGCGGCCATTGGGGGCGCGTGGGCGCAGGCGCCAGGAGTATCTGATGCCTTTTGGTTGGGGCAGCCGCCGCCCAAGGGCCGCCTGCGGCAGGTCCTGATTTCGTGCCTGCTGGTCGGCCCGTAGGGAGTGCTCGCTTCGCGCGGCATCGTCTCCGCCGAGGAGGCCCGCCAGAGAGGTCGCCTTGCGGTGGCCGAGAGAGAGAGAGAGAGAGAGAGAGAGAGAGAGAGAGAGAGAGAGAGAGAGAGAGAAAAGGAGAGAGAGAGAGAGAGAGAGAGAGAGAGAGAGAGAGAGAGAGAGAGAGAGAGAGAGAGAGAGAGAGAGAGAGAGAGAGAGAGAGAGAGAGAGAGAGAGAGAGCGGCGAGGGCCGCTCAGCGCGAGGCGGTCGAACCCCAGACCACAGGGCTGAGTCGGGGCTGAAGCTAGGGCTCTGACTCCCTGCGCGTCCCTCCCGGGCGCCCTGCGCGCCCGTCCGAATTCATGTGCGAGCGAGCCGTCTGGCCTGAGGAGGTATGAACAATTCCTGTGCCGCATTGGCTGGGGGCCCTCAAACCGCGTGGTGACCACGCCGCGTGGTGAGCCAATAGAGACTCGGGGTGACTGCGCGGTTCTGGGGCTCGGGTCGTTCTCCGATGATGTTTGGGGCAATTGGGGCCTCCAGCTAAATGCGTGCGGCGACGGACCGCGCGGTAAGGTTGTCGGGGATTCCGAGGTCACCGCGCGGTCCATCTCCACGCGGTTTAGGGACTACAATCGGGTTGTCCCCCAATCGCTGAATGCGGTGCGATAGCATCGGCTTGCGAGCTCGGATTTGGCCAACCCGCGCCCCCTGGGCCGCGCACCAAACATCACACTTGCTTGGTGTCACTCTTGCGTGTAGCCGAGCACGTGAACCTCAGGGAACGACCCTGTGAGGACAGTGTTCGGCGGCGCGCCCATAGTGGGATGCGAGAGGGGGTGGCCTCCTGAAAGGGGGGCGGGGTTCTTCGTAACCCCCACAGCCTTCTTAAACACCCCTCTGTGCCTTTGTAGACGGCTTAGATAGCATCTCATGAAGCTGGATGCCTTGTTTGCGGATTTCTTGGGTCGGCGCTGGGCCCCCCTCCTTGGCGCGCTTCGCGCGCCAGGGGCGGCGCTGGAGGCGCCGCCAGCCGTGCCCCAGCGCAGATCTATCTACGACTTCGGGCGCAGCGCCAACTGTCTATGTGTATGTACTTTTTCTTTTTTTCAATCTAAGCTTTTGAAAAGGCCTGGTCGGCAGCATTCCTTGGGAGCTGTCGAGGTTCCTTTGCACTACGTCAAGAAGCATATTTGAATTTCAAGGACTTAAGGTCGAAGCTATGGGCTCGTAGTTTTGGGTGACTCAGCCCTCCCGCTTCTGGTTACATCCGATACGAAGCAGTAGCGGGCGCGGGCACGTGTCTTAACAACTGCCCTGGCACTCATTATGTCGCAGCATATCCTGTGCCATTGCCTGGCGTGGCTCTCTGCCTCGGGGGCACCACCGACAGGGGGGCCATCTCCAGCAAGGAGGTCCATGATGCCTCCCCGAGCTGGCGATAGGGGGCGCCTCGATTGAGGGGGGGGCCGCACCACCAGGGGGATCCCCCTGGCTCCTCCCGTTGGTGGTCCCTGGTAGTGTGGTGCCGCTGTCCCTTGTTCCTTCGTCGGCGTTCCGAAAGTTTCGTGACGTCTGAAAACTTCAGCTTTTAACGATGGGGTGAAATCCTGCTGCCCCTCCTTGATTGGCCTGTTTTCCACCACCACCACCATAAGTTGGAGGGGGACGGGGTCCTCCTCCTCCTCCTCCTCCTCCGCCTCCTCCTCCTCTTCCTCCTCCTCCTCCTCGTCTTCTTCCTCCTTCCCCCCATCCAACTTATGGTGGTGGTGGTGGAAAACAGGCCCTGTGCCTCCTGGCGCCCCTGCCGGCGTCCCGGCTGGCACCACATGGCCAGAGCGGCGCCTGCGGACCCCCGCCCTCCCGCCGAGCGGCCGCCCTGCGCGGCCCCTTCTCCGTGGGTCTGTGCGCTTCCCATGCGGCCAGCACGCTGAAACAAGGACCGCTCTGGGCTCAGGAGTGAGGGGCTCGGGTTTTCGGGCCGTTCCTTCGGTTCATGTCGCGGGGCCTGTTCGTGGCCCAGGCACGCCGTGGCCAGAGAAGCCCCTTTGCTCCTCATTTTTGCGCTCCTGGTGGTAGCACGATGACGGTCCGGGTTCTCTTGGTTTCCCCATAATTCGGGGGCCGAATTTATGGGGAAGTGGGATCTCCACCGCCGGGGGAGGAGACTTCCCTGAGGTCTCCAAGGGCTTAGATCTGGGGCTGTAAGATTTCATTGTGGCATGAAACATAGGAGCTTGCACTGAAAGCAGCAACTTGCATTATGCGAGAGAAATCATACACACGTGTAGAACTGCATATTCGGCAGCGCGACCAGAGGGAATGCAGAGGGGCAGGCCTGTTCAGAAGGCTCAGAACAGAAATGAGAAAACACGACATCGACACAAGCTTTCGGCGCTCCGCGCGGATTTCTGGGACTGGCGCTGGGTCCCCGCGAGGGCGCCCCCCCCCCCCCGGACAGCTCTCGCAGCGCCCTGGTGCCCCAGGCTTCCCCGAAGACTGCGCAGGGTGCCTCGGTCGAACAAGAAAATATCGGCCTTTTCGGAGGTCCGCGCGGATTCCTTTGATCGGCGCTGGGGCCTCGCTGGGGCCTCGCGCGGACTTCCGACAGTTTAGGTTTCTGGAGGGCTTTATTACTCGAAGGCAGCTCTCGCAGCGACCCCGGTTGCACTCAGGACTCCCCGAAGACGGCGCACGGTGCCTCGAGAGGGACGCGAGAGCGCCCCAGACAGGCGAAGATAGGAGGCTGAGAGGAGCAAGGGGTCATGATAGTGATACGTCCAAGGATTTTGAGGATTGCCAAGGCCCCCTGCTGTCCCACACGGCCTGCAGAAACGAGGGCCGCTAGACACTCCAGAATTCATGGATAAAGTATCTTGAGCCAATCCCATCATGAAATCATTCTCGCCCACACGGCAAGGAGCAGAAACCTCGCGGGCGCGCGGGCGCGCTCCGCTGCCAGCCTCGGGGACTCCCCGGACATCTCGGAGGAGACCCGCAGGCGTTCGCCGACTTTCAGATGCCCGGCGGCTTCTGAGAAGCCGGTCGCGGGTTACATCCGGTGGGCGCCGGCGGGAATGACGGTCGAGATCCATTCGGTAAGTGCGCGCACTGCTCACAGACAGCCTCACCAGGTAGCCCCAGCTGGCCTGTCTACCCGGGGTGGAGGGCTGCCTGCGCGCAGCCCGAAACCTCCCCAGTTCCATGATCTTCGGGGTGCTGCGGTCGGCGTTTGGAAGGAGTGCGCTGGGAACCCAAAGACTATACACCACCACCACGTCGATTCCTCCTCTCTCCTTTTTCCAGCGGGAGGGAGGTGGGGAGGGAGGTGGTGGTGGTGGTGTATATTTTTGGGCCCCCCATGTGCCGTGCAGCCAAGACGCCGCAAGACGAGCCACTCTGGGCCCAGGAGGGGCTCTGGCTTCCCGGCCGCGGGGGGCCTTGTCGGGGCCGAGGCTCGCCCTGGCCAGAGAGGCCCTCTCGCTCCGCATCCGGCGCGCCACATGGCAGCACGACGGCGGCCTTCGGCCAGATCAGAGGCCCTCGGTGGGGCCTGGAGCCCCCTCGTCCCCCCGCCTTCGCCGCTCCGACCGCCGTCTGCGCTGGGCGTTTCCTCTCGCGCGCAGGGTCGCGCCCTGGTTCGCCTCCTCTCGCCGCGGGGAGCGCGCCTGCGAGAAGTGCGGGGGCGGGGGCAGCGGGCTCCGTTCCTGCCCCAGGGAGGTGCGGGAGGCGAGGCTGGAGGCAGGCGCCGTTGCCGCACCCCTGCGATCAGCGCGTGCTCGCTGTGCGAGGAGCAGCAGCAATGCCTGGCGCGTCTTGGCGAGGCGAAGGAGGCGAAGGCAGAGCCCGATTCAGCAGTTTCAGCATTGGGAGCAGCGCTTGCGAGAGAGGCATGCAGTGGCTGCACGCCTTTTCATTGTTTGCCGAAGTGTTGGGGAGCCCAGCGTCCTACAGTTCAGCGCTGGGAGCAGCGCTTGCGAGAAAGTTGGGTAGTGGCAGCATGTTCTGGCGTTGCTTAGCAAAGTGCGCTAGGCGAGTGTGGTGCCGACGCCTTCATTCACAACGCTGGGTTCAGCGCGTGCGAGAAAGGCGCGCAGTCGCAGCACGCTCTGGCGTGGCTGAGAGATATGCAGGAGGCGAAGGTGGTGCCCGACGCCATCTATGCTAGAGTACTGGGCTCAGCGCGTGCCAGGCGGACACTCTGGGTCCGCGCCCGCCAGGCCCGCGGCGGCGGCGCCTACGCGGCCCCGCTCGTGGAGCGACGCCATCCTGGCCCAGGGGAGCACTGGGAGTGCCCTGCCCAGGAAGGACCCAAGAGTGTCCCTCTGCAGCGCAAGAGGATGTCCAGACGGCCCGAGAAGGCCCTCATCAGGTTCTATCAGGCTCCCAGATGGCCTCCGAGATGGCCACGAGGACGCATCACTATCGATCTTCTCGTGGTTTTTTGATACTTACTCTTGCGATCGCTTCTGCTGCCAAAAGACGCCCAACCCATCCCGAGAAGCCTCCCAATTCGTCCGGAGGGCGACCAGGGAGCTCCCAGGAGTGCCCCTACCACGGCCCCAGAGGCCCTCAAGACAGCTCCGGACTCCCAGGACGACCGAACAGCTTCCTAAGATGGCCCCAAGGGAGGCCCGACAGGGCCAACTCTGGAGCGCTATCCCAAAACCCCTCCCGCCCCTTCCACGGCCAGCAAGCCCCCAAGAAGCCCCCCAGTGGCTCCAAGACGGTCTCCGGGACACTCCCCGAGGCTCCCGGAAAGCCTTCAGCAGCACCCTCGAAACGGCTCTAACATGCTTTAACTCTTGCAAGGCCCCAGTTCACTAGAGCAAGTGATGCCCCACGGGCTTCCCGAAGGCCTCCAGCAGCTCCCACCGAACTGCTCACACAGGCTCTCAGACAGCACCCATTCATGGGAACAACACCACACCCCACACCTCTCGAGCCACCTCTCGCGCGGGAGGGGCTGCAGAAAATAGCTCGCAGATCCAGCTGCGGCCACCCAGGAACGCTGTTTCCTTCCGCGCCGAGCGTGTCCCAAGAGGTGTGGGGTGTGGTTTTGTTTTTCCGATTCTCTTGGACATCCTCCTTTTCTTCCCCGTCGTCGCTCTCCTCCGTCACAGGCGCTCCTGCCCGCGGAGTCTGAACTTCACGATTTTCAAGAGGGGGAAGAGGTGGACGAAGAGGAGGAGGAGGAGGAGGAGGACGAGGAGGAGGAGGAGGAGGAGGAGGTGGAGGTGGAGGGGGAGGAGGAGGAGGAGGAGGAAGAGAGTGAGGAGGATGATGATGATGATGATGAGGAGGAGGTGGAGGAGGAGACGGAAGAGGAGATAGAGGAGGAGGAGGAAGAGGACGAGGAGGAGGTGGAGGAGGACCCGCAGAATCATCAAGCAAACGCCGCACCCTGAAGCTTTTTGTTAGCAGCCGTAGGCGAGCGCGCCAACGGCGAATAAGGTCCGAGCGGGCCGCGCGGGGGCCGAATTACCTAGCGCGGAGCAGAGCAGGACCGACCGCCGAAGCCTCAGCGCTGGGGCAGCAAGAGGAGCTGGGGGCGGGCGCACCCTGAAGCAATGAGGCAGCAAGGAAACTTTGACCACTGGCATTCATGGACGGTAGTCTGTGAACGGGTCAGCCCTATTCATCTACAACGCTGGGATCGGTGCTTGCGAGGAAGGCGGGCAGTGGTAACATGCCTTGAAATTGCTTAGCGTGAACAGCGAGTTCTCGGAGTTGGCGAGGTTGGACCCCAGCGTCGCCAGCAACAGCAGCGCTATCACTGCTCTGTCGCGTATAAGCGATGACGCAGACTAGGGGAACCGCAGACCATGACATCCTTGAAACAAGTGCAGTGCGGCACCATCACCAACACCATCGCAATCACTACCATGACCACCACTATCATCACCACTAGCACCACCATCATCACCATCATCACCATCACTACTACCGTCATCGCCACCACCGTAATCATCATCAGCGTCATCGACATCATGATCAGGATCATTACCACCATCATCATCACCATCATCTTCACCACCACCATCATCTTCATCACCACCATCACCATCATCACCATCATCATCATCAGCATCGTCACCATCATCATCATCATCATCACCAGCATCATTAACACCATCATCATCATCATCACAATCACAATCTCCATCCTATCAGCATCATCACTATTATCATCACCATCACCAACACAAGCACCATTGCCATCACCATCACAACCACCATCATTACCACCATCAGCATCAGCATCATCATCACCATCACCGTCGTCGTCATCATAATCAGCATCATCGTCATCATCATCGTCATCACCATCAGCGTCGTTATCATCATCATAATGATCACAATCATCCTCATTCTCATCGTCATCCTTATCACCCTTCTCCTTGTCATCCTTATCAGTACCAGCATCCTTATCCTCATCCTCGTTGCCATTGTCCTCACCGCCATTGTCTTCCTCATTATCATCACCACCATCACCATCATCAGCATCCTCAGCATCAACATCATCATCATTATCATCAGTACAAGTGTCAGCATCATCGCCATCATCAGCATCATAATCATCATCACCATCACCATCATCATCATCATCATCATCATCATCATCATCATCATCATCATCATCATCATCATCATCATCATCTCCATCGTCATCGTCATCGTCATCGTCATCGTCATCGTCATCGTCATCGTCATCGTCATCGTCATCGTCATCAGCATCGTTATCATCATCGTCATCATCGTCGTTGTTGTCGTCGTCGGGGGGTTTGGGCCGGGTGAAGTCAGGAGCAAGGAAGTCGGCGGGAGGATGCTCGGATGGGCGATGCGATGTGTGGTCGTGTATCCTGCTCTGCCCCAGTCATCAGGCGGCCCGATCTTTTCAAGGGACTGGCCCCCCGGCTCCGAGACCTGTAGGACCCCCGACCTTTTCTTGAGGGTTGATTTTCTTTCTCCAGGGTGTTTTTTTTCGACGGGTTGGGGGCTCCGATAGCGGCGTTCGAGGGTCCGACGTGGCGATCGGGGGTAGATCCAAATCGGAGCAGCAAGAGGTCATGATAAATTTTAGCTCCAAGATCTTCCTGAATTCTCCATGATCGCCCGGTACTCCGTACGGGCTGCAGAAACAAGGGCCGTTGGATATTCTGGCGTTCCTGGGACGTATCCTGAGCCAATCGTATCGGGATATCATGATGTTTCTACGGTGGGGGCGTTGGTTGAGGACTGTGCCCAGGAGGCCTCAGACCCTGGCGGATCCCTGGACTGATGATGAAGGCGGCAGTGACATCATTTGTGGCCAATCCACGATTGGCGTTCCACAGGCTTCAATTTCCTGAGTTCCATGTCCCATGGTTCCTTGCCCAGACATGCGATGCCATGCTTTTTTCAATACGGGGTCCCTGGAAGTCCCGACCGTTCCCATTGGGGCCAGTTTTCATCCCGAGTAGTTTTTCGTCGGCCCTGAGGCCCAGAGACGGCCCCCAGAGGCAAGAAACGGCCACAATCCTTCCGCCGTGATTTTTTACGACGCGAGCATGTCCGGGACCGTACCAAGGTGCAGCGCACCCCAGGAACGTTCTCGGCGAGACGCAGCTGCTGGAAAAGCATCCCGAGGCTGGAAACCGCCGAGAATAGACGAAAGCGGCCGGCACCTTTGAGAACCGACGACGCCCCCCTTTCTTAATCCCTCCTCCTCCTCCTCCTCCTTCTCCTCCACCTCGTCCTCCTCCTCCTCCTCCTCTCCTCCTCCTCCTCCTCCTCCTCTTCCTCCTCCTCCTCCTCCTCCTCCTCCTCCTGGCCTGCAGTCGCTCGAATATGATTGCACGCCCCCGGCAGTGGCTCTCTGGTGGAGTCCTTTCGCGGACCTCCGATCCGATCCTCCTCTCCCCCCCTCCCCTCCCCTCTCCCCCTCCCCCTCCCCCTCCCGCTCCTCCTCCTTCTCCTGCTACTCCTCCTCCTCCTCCTCCTCCGCTCCACCTCCTTCTCCTCTCCTCCTCCTCTCCTCTCCTCCTCCTCCTCCTCCTCCTCCTCCTCCTCCTCCTCCCCCCTTGTCCGTGCCAAGGTGCAGCGCATCAAGAACCTCCAGGACACGCCTTCTGTGCCGGGCTGTCCGCTGCCCCTCGGCGCAAGGAGGAAGAGGAGGAGGAGGAGGAGGAGGAGGAGGAGGAGGAGGAGGAGGAGGAGGGAGGAGGAGAGGAGGAGAGGAGGAAGGAGGAGGAGGCGAGGAGGAGGAGGAGGAGGAGGAGGAGGAGGAGGAGGAGGAGGAGGAGGAGGAAGGAAGAGGAGGACTCCAAGAACGGGCGAAGTCAACGCTCCAGGAATTGTCTGCTCCCTCTGCTTTCTCGGTATTGCGTACGTGGATGGGTACCTGGACGTCGGCCATGAGATTTCAGCATATTGAGCCATGCATGTTGTGCGAAGCAGGTGATGACAGTCTCCAGCGCATGTGGTCTTGTCCAGCGTTCCTCGAGCTCCTCTCTCTCGTGCTTCTCGACCTGCTTCGCCTTTCATCGCCACTGCCTCTTTCTCCTTGTCCCGTCGCTGGCCTCTTCGCCCCATCGCCGCAGTCACTTCTCATCACAGCTGCGGCATCCACGCTATACCATTTCCTCCGCAGCCTGAATCAAGGCGCGCCGATCCGCCGAAGGCGGGCAATTCAGGCCATTCCAACAGTGAGATGGCAGCTGCGCCGATCGTAGCGTCGCTGAGGTAACCGTTGAACTCTCTTTGATTGCCACGTGCGATGAGGAGGTGGAGGAGGAGAAGGAGGAGGGGGAGGGTGATGATGATGATGAGGAGGAGGAGGAGGAGGGGGAGGAGGAGGAGGAGGAGGAGGAGGAGGAGGAGGAGGAGGAGGAGGAGGAGAGGAGGAGGAGGGGGAGGAGGAGGAGGAGGAGGAGGAGGAGGAGGAGGAGGAGCAGGGCGAGGGGGAGAGGGAGGAAGAGGAGGAGGAGGAGGAGGAGGAGGAAGAGTGGGAGGAGGAGCAGGTGGAGGAGGAGGAGGAGAAGGAGGAGGAACAGCATGATGACTACGTTGTTGTTGATGATGATGGTGTTGATGAGGATGCTGATGATGATGGCACTGCTGATGACGATTCTGCTGCTGATGATGCTGCTGACGATGATGATGATGATGATGATGATGATGATGATGATGATGATGATGATGATGATGATGATGCTGACGATGACGGCGATGCTGATGCTGCTGATGATGACGATGCTGATGCTGATGATGAGGATGATGCTGATGATGATGCTGACGATGATGGTAATGATGCTGCTGATGCTGCTGAGGATGATGAAGACGAGGATACTGCTGATGATGATGACGATGGCGGTGGCGATGGCGACGACGACGACGATGACGATGTGACGATGACGATTCTGATGCTGATGCTGCGGATCATGATGATGCTGAACATGATGATAATGGTTATGATTATGTTCATGATGGTGATGGTGATGATGCTGATGTGATGTTGGTGATGCTCAGGATGATGATGATGATGATGATGATGATGATGATGATGATGATGATGATGATGATGATGATGATGATGATGCTGGTGATGCGGATGATGCTGCTGATGATGTTGGTGGCGATGGTGATGATGCTGATGAGGATGATGGTGGTTGTGATGCTGATGCTGATGCTGATGCTGGTGGTGCTGCTGCTGCTGTTGAGGATGATGATGAGGAGGATCAGGGGAAAGAAGAGGAGGAGGAGGAGGAGGAGTATCAGGGCCACTTTGGATTTTTGGCGCCCCTCTAGTTCTCGGCGCCCTTTTGGTTTCTGGCGCTCTTTGGTTTTCGGCGCCCCTTTGGTTTTTAGCGCCCTTCGGCTTCCGGCGCGCCTTGGGTTTTTGGCGCCATTTGGTTTTCGACGCTCTTTTGGTCATCGGGGCGTTTTTGTTTTTTCGGCGTCCTTGTGGTTCTTGGCTCATCGTTCGTTTTGCTCCTTTGGTATTTCGGCGTTTTTTGGTTTTCGGCGCGTCGTAGGTTCCTGGTGCCCTTTTGGTTTTCGGCGCTCCTTTTTGTTTTCGGCGTCTTTTTTTGTTTTCGGCGCCCTGTCCGTCTTCGGAGCTTCTGTCGTTTTCGACGCCCCTTTCGTTTTCGGCACTCTTTGGTTATCGGCGCTCCTGTGGTATTTCGGCGCATCGTAGGTTTCGGGCGCTCCTTTGGTTTTCGGCGATCCTTCTTGTTTTCGGCTCCCCTTGGGTGTTCGGCGCCCCTTTGGTTTTCGGCGCCCTCTCGGTTTTACGGCGCCTCGTGCCCTCTTAGTTTTCGGCGCCCTGATTGTTTCCTGTGCATCTTTGGTTTTCGGCGCCTCTTTTTGTGTTCGGTGTTTTTTCGGTTTTCTTCTTCCTTTGGGTTTTCTGCGCCCCCTTGGTGTTTGGCGCCCCTTTGGTTTTCGGCGACTTTTCGGTTTTCGACGCTCCGTTGGATCTCGGCGCCATCTGGTTCTCGGCGCCTTTTTGGTTTTCGGAGCCATTTTGGTTTTTGGCGCCCTTGTTGGTTTTCGGCATCGTTTGGGTTTTCGGTGCCCTTTTGGTGTTTGGCGACCCTTTGGTTGTTCGCGCCTTATTTGTTTTCTGCGCCCCTTTGGCTTCCGGCGTCCTTTTTCCAGTTCGGCGACCCTTTGGTTTTAGCGCCCTTTTGGGTTTCCGTGCTCCCTGGGTTTTCGGCGCCATTTTGGTTTTCGGCGCTGTTCTGGTTTTCGGCGCCCCTTTTGGTTTTGGGCGCTGCTTGTTTTTTTTTTTTTTTTTTGTTGTTTTGGGTTTTCGGAGCTTTTTTGGGTTTTCGGCGTTCGTCCGGTTTTCGGCGCCTTTTGGTTTTCGGTGCCCTTTTGC